TGACAAACAGGCTTTATATTACAGGACAAACTGGTTCCAGATGTACTCTCACTATTTAAAGGGGCTTGCTTTGCAAAGGGTGCGCTCAGTAATTAACCACTTATGTATATCTAATGGTAATTAACTGGATTAAAAAACTTAAGGTTTATATAAATTATAAATATCTAAAAATATAAAAGTCTAAATCATGAGGATTTAAGAAAATGATTTAAAATATAGAAATATTAGTTATGCTATTGTTATACTAGAATTTCAAAAGTTCAAAGTTTTAACATTAATCAATAGAATTCTGATGTTATTAATCAACCCCTGGTAACTGCTACTATTATCAGTTACAAGTTTAAGATTTAAGATTTCCTCTGATTGTCTTCTAAATATGGATTTAAAGATGCTTCTCATCATGCTAGAAACATGTCTATCCCATTGTATACCCAGCTCTCTGGACAGACTAAAAAGAGTGTTCATGCTTTGTAACCCAGAGCCATAGCTCTTGCTATGACTCAAATGCACAAGTCAACTCCGGCTATTTTTGTTTGTTTGCTTGTTTGTTTGTCTGTTTGTTTGTTTTTTAGAGACAGGATTTCTCTGTGTAACAACTCTGGCTGTCCTGGAACTCATTCTGTAGATCAGGCTGACCTCATACTCACAAAATCCCGCCTACCTCTGCCTCCCGAGTGCTGGGTTTAAAGGCGTGCACCACCACTGCCTGGCAATTCCGGCTGTTTGCAGACACCACTTGGCTTTTTTCTCTACAATGTGAATTTCAGTACAGATCACAAACATCACAGTGTAAGTTTCATGGAATCAAGAAAGGCATAAGAATTGGAAGCATCTCTCACAGGTCAGTGGACTCCAGACAAGTACTCCTATCAATCAGCAGCCTAAGCTTCCCTTCCTACTGCCTATTCCTGAGGGGGATGCTCCAAATATAAGTTTCCTTTAAGTTCCTAAACTTTGCTTTCTACCCTTGGTCTGAATCTGTCTTGGCAGAGTTCCACTCAGCTGGTAGGCACCATCCAGAAATCAGTCGCAAACTAAAAGTGCTCCAAACCACAGCAGTCCCAGGCAATCTTTCTCCAGCTGGTCAACAAACCAGCTGCTTCTAATGATTATCCCATCACCCTAATCCCCTCCTGGTCTTCGACTAACATTCCATCTTTCTGGGCCCTGACAATGGTGTCTTAATACCAGCAGAAGTAGAGACTACATCACCTTTATCTTTAACAGAAGGCTGGAATGTTAGATCAACAGGACCTTGGCAAAGGAGACAAGATGGCTTACCTATAGTACCTATTGGCATACCAAGACTATAATGGCCTTAAAATTTTTGTTCTTTCTACGTTAACTAAACAGGTATAATTTATAAACAGGCCATGCATCTTTTGATGTGTTACAAATTTTGTCATATTCCACCCCCAGATAAAGAATGCTATACCCCTAACAAGAATTTGACAACGACACTTAAGACAAGGGGGAAATGACGAACAAGCCTGCCTCCATTTTAGGAAGCATCTTATAGTAACCATATTTTTTTTACCTTATATTTCTTAAAACTGATTTTATTGAGCTATATATTTTTCTCCCCTTCCATTCTCCCCCTCCCCTTCTACCCTCTTCCATGATCCCCACACTCCCAATTTACTCAGGAGATCTTATCTTTTTCTACTTCCCATGTAGATTAGATCCATGTTTGTCTCTCTTAGGGTCCTCTTTGTTGTCTAGGTTTCCTGGGATTGTGAAGTAGCCATATTTTTATTTCAAGGAATTATAATGACCATCTTGCCACCCTATCTTTGTTATAAAAGCTTGTGGCTACCTTGTTATGATTATATTGTTATGCTCTGCTTCTGTAACCCCACCTATATTGATTTGGAAATCCTCTACCCCACCTTTAGGGAGAGACAGCCCATGCACAAAGAATAAAAAAGCTTGTTTTAATTAATTGCTTGCTTTAATTAATTTGACCATGATGATTTAGGTTGGTGGTCTTTCTCCTCCCATCTTTGGGTTAGCACATACCAGAGCCTTCTTAATAGAATTCTTATGAAGAATAACAGGTAATGTATGCAAATCTTGACACACTAGTACTCCACAGAAGACCCATAATCAATGCAATAAATGATGCTCCAATTTTACCTGCACTAATTTTATAAATTGGAACATGAGCAATAAATGCTATTTTAAGCCCCTCTTAAATCCCCCAAACATGGGGGGCCCTAGAAGTCACCTCAATCTATGTCCAGAGGTGACCCCCCTCCTCCATGTGTGAAACTGATGTAGAAGTCACTGCTGCTTCCAGATACCCTTGAATTAGAACTTAGTTCCCTGTTGCTAAGTGTGGAAAGAAACAGCTGGTTCCTTTTCTTCTTCTTACACACACATGCACACACACACACACACACTTTTGTTTTGGATTTTTTGCGACAGAGTCTCTCTACCAGCCCTGGTTGCCATTATGACTTGATTATTATTTTCACTTGGAAATTAACCATGACATAAGGAGACGTGATTGTGTGTCGACTTGACAAGAAGAGGACTTGTGATGACTAATCTTGGTTGTCAACTTGACTACATCTGGAAATCACTGAAACTCAAGCAGCTGGACATGCCTGGGAGGGATTTTTCTTGGTTAGCTTCTTGGAGGTGCAAGAGCCACACTAGATCTAGACCATGTGAAGAAAGACTCACCCACCCTAAAACAGGTCACATAAAAGGACATGGAAGTGGGAAACTTCTGTTTTTTGCCTGCTTGCTCTCCTCTGGCTGGCAAGTTTATGTACTCTGCTCCCACAGCATTCCTTCACTGGTATCAGAACTTGTTTCTTCTGGATTCCAATTTAGACTGGAAACTGGCAGCTCTCTAGGACTTACCTAGGATTCCAGCGCCAGAATGGGACTGCTGAGACATCCAGTCTCATAGATGGAACAGATTGTGGATCCTCAGCCTTTTAGTCAGGAGGCAGCTAAAAATTACTGGATTGTTCAGAGCACACTCTATAAGCTTCTCTCATAAATGCATATATATTACATCACTCTATCATCTCTGTTCCTTTAGAGAAACCTAACGGATTGCGCATTAGGGAAGTGAAGGATGCAGGATGTGGGGGCTTATTGTCTGGGCAGCCTAGCTGAATCACAGAAAGGGTCCAAATGTAGCAAGCTCCCTTTTTCTTTGTCTGTCTGTTTGTTTGTTTATTTATTTATTTGTTTATTTATTCATTCATTTCTTTTTCAGATAGGTCATACTGTGTAGTCCTTGCTGGTCCAGGATTCTTTAAGCAGAATAGAGAGACCAGTCTCAAATTCAGACACACTCCTGCCTCTACTGGGGATTAAAGGTGTGCACCAACACACAAGACCTGCAAGTTTTCCTGAAACAAAAGAAAAACTAGAAAATTTCTACAAATAATCTCCAGAAAGAGACTTTTAAAAAAAATCAAGCCAGATTGGTGGCTTACGATTGCATTAGGAGGACTCAGGAGGATTGCCATGAGTTTAAGGCCAGCCTGGACTACATAGTGAGTTCAAACCCAGTTTGGGCTACAGAGTGAGACCCTGTACCTTTTAAACAAGAAAATTATAAAATGAAACACCCAACCAAAATTAAAAGGTCACCTGTACTGAGTTAAAAGGGCTTCAACAGGATGCTCATCAGGGTAAAACCAGTGAACTTGAGGCCAGATGAGCAGTGTTGCCCAGTCTGAAAGCAATAGCCGGATGAGGCTACACTTGTAGTCCAGACTCAAGGAGCTTCTGCTGGACGACTGAGAGTTCAACGCCAGCCTAGGCTACAGAGTTTGAAATCAATCTGAGCTCTACGGTGAGACACTGTCTCTAAACAAATAAGTAACAAGCTTTGAGGCTCCAACAAGAGTAAGAGCTTCAGGCTGGGAAATGAAAAAATACATACACAGGGGCCAGTGAGATAGCTCAGCAGGGAAAGACACTTCCTGCCAAGCCTGGCAACCTGAGTTTGATCCTCAAGAGCTGTATGGTGAAGAGTCCAAGAATAAAAATATAGAATTGCAGGTTTCAGAAATAGAAATGTAGAAATAAAGAAATTGATGTGGGATTTCCCTCTGTATACTGTGAATATGTTTTATTACCATTGGTTAATAAAGATGCTACTTTGGCCTATAGCAAGGCAGAAGGCAGAGAAACTAAGCTTAATGCATGGAGAAAGAAGAAGGAGTCAGGCAGATACCACGTATCTGCCAAAGGAGATAGATTCCAGGACATTACCAGTAAGCCTCGTGGTGATACATAGATTAATAGAAATGAGTTAATTTAAGATATAAGAGCTAGCTAGAAATATGCCTGAGCAATTGGCCAAATAGTGTTGTAATTGATCTAGTTTCTGTGTGATTGTTTGGGCCTGGGCAGCCGGGAAACAAAAGTACACTCTTCTTTTACAAATGATGCCCAAATAATTGGTGCTAACCTGCGGGATCCGCCACCCACTTCAGGTCAGGTGCTTGTATGCCCACTTGGGGTTAGAAGGAAAGTAACTGAGAGCACACAGGCAGGAGAACATGGCAGATTCCCACCACCATATACAGAGACACTTCCAGGCCACACAGCATACTGCAAGGCAGATTTAGCTTTTACTCAGACAAAAAGGGTTTATGTGCTGCACACTCCTTCCCAGAGTTGAGGTAGTGAGCACAGCTCCCACCCAGAAGTCCCAGAACTGGCGGTAAATGTACCTCCGCCATGCTAAAAGGCCAAGAGAGGTGGAGTCAGCATCCAGGACTGCTGCTACCAAGCTGCTTATCACTTTAAGAGTGCTCCTGGTCAGAAAAGAACTACAGATGTGCAATAAAGACATATTCAGACAGAAATAAACCTCTAAATGGGTCATAATGTGTTTTTTAAAATGTTCGTAGGCTTAAGATAAAAAGAAAATGGGTATAGGCAGTTCCAGAAAGAAACAGTTTTAAAGAATAAAACAGGCAGAGCGGGACGGGAGCGGGGCCAAGTCTGGGGGTGGGGATGGGCTGCGGCCCTCGCTCTACCTTCTCCCATCATGAGCCAAGGAAGTTCTGGGGCCTGGGCCCCCCTCGATCCCACCTCCGGGCCCTCGGCGCCCCCAAACCCATTCGTTCAGGCCTCCGGAGGGTTAAGTTCTGTCTCCTGGGGGTACTGCTGGCCCCAATCCAAGCGCTTCTAGTTTTTATTGTTCTTCTCTGGCCCTTTGCATGGCTCCAAATTACGGGTCTCACTGAAGAGCAGCTTCAGGAATCAATTACTGGATGGAGGAAGACTGCATGCCACAACGGGGTTCTTGGTCTGAGCCGCCTGCTCTTTTTCCTGCTTTGCTTCATCCAGATCCGTGTTCGGTGACAGAGGGCCTCTCTTCTGGAAGCCCCTGTACTGGTCGCTGCCCCCCACTCAACTTTCTTTGACCCAATTGTTCTACTCCCCTGTGACCTGCCCAAACTTGTGTCTCCAACTGAGAATCTTTCTGTGCCTGTCATTGGAGCCCTTCTGCGATTCAATCAAGCCATCCTAGTATTCTGGCGTGACCCAGCTTCTCACTGCCCAGTGGTTGAGGAGGTCCGAAGGCAGGCTACCTCGGGAGGCAAGTGACCTCAGGTACTATTTTTCCCCCCGAAGGCACCTGTTCTAACAAGAAGGCTTTGCTGAAGTTCAAACCCAGAGCCTTCATCGCAGGGGTGCCTGTGCAGCCTGTCCTCACCTGATACCCCAAAGGTCTGGACACCACCAACTGGGCACGAAGGGGTCCTGGCGTACTCAAAGTTCTCTGGCTCACAGCCCTGCACCATCGTGGAAGTAGAGTTCTTGCCAGTGTATCAGCCCAGACCTCAGGAGAGTAAGGACCCCACCCTTTATGCCAACAATGTGCAGAGAGTCATGGCACAGGCCCTGGGCATTCCAGTCACTGAATGTGAGTTTGTGGGGAGCTTGCCTGTGATTGTGGTGGACCAACTGAAGGCAGCATTGAAGCCACAGCTCTGGGAACTGGAAAAGGTGCTACAGAAGGCTGAGCTGTCCCCTGGTTGTGTGGACATGGGGGCAGAGCCAGGCCAGAGTCGTTTGCCCAGCAGCTACAGCTCTCTGATCCTCAGACAGTGGGTGGTGCCTTCAGCTACTTCCAGCAGGATGCCAAGGGTTTGGTTGACTTCCAAAATGTAGCCCTTGCACTAGCAGCCCTGGATGGAGGCAGGACCCTGGAGGAGCTGATTCACTTGGCCTTTGAGCTCTTTGCTGAAGAACAAGCAGAAGGACCTGGCCGCCTGCTATACAGAGACTGCTTCAGCACCATCCTTATTGCTGGGTTCACCCCGCCCTGCTGCCACGACTTTGCATGCTGAGTTATGCCAGCCTGGAGGCAGCCAAGGCCTCTCCCCCTTCCCAGAACTTCTCCCTCCATGACCCTCTGTATGGAAAGCTTTTCAGTTACCTACCTACGCCCCCGCCCCCCCGCCCCCCGCCCAAGCCTCGAAGCACCTCCCAGATATCAAATGCCTCATCCCCAAGCAGCCCCCCTGCCCTGGCCAACGGGACTGTGCGAGTCCCCAAGCTTCAGCCCCATCTCTGTTCCTGATTTTTTTTTTTTTGGTTATCATTGTTTTTTTAAGTTTATTTTAATTTTTTGTTTGGTGGGGTTTTTGTAAAAGACTGTTTTATATATAAATATGAATTTATTTAAAAAAAGAAGCTCGGTCCCAGGAATACAGTCATTAGTTGGGAAGGAAAGAGATGGATGATCAGCTGCCAGATTTCCATTGGAATTTTTTTTTAAAAAAAAAACCTAGAGATTGATCTTGGGCACACTTGAATTTTCTCACTCACAAATGGACGGGGCTATTTCCTTCATAGAAAGCATACAGTGATTTTGTATCTTCCCATCCTGTTAGCCCCTACTAAATGTGCACATTTTAATAGACTTCTTCGTGAACATATTTTTCATCCCATTCCCTCATGCTCCGTCCTCATTAAAGATGGAAATATTGCTTTCTGCCATTCCATATTAAAAAAAATAAAACAAAGTCTTTAAAGAGACAGTAAAAGTAATATAAAAGAGTAAAGACAGTCATAGATTAAAGGAGTAAAGAAAAACAAGTCACGTAAAGAGGGAATGTGCACAGAGATTCTGAATTATGTGTATTATTGTGTTTTCTTTTGATTTTTTTTGAATTCATTTTGAATCAAATGAATGACTACATTTGATTTTGGGGGCTGCTAAGCTAAACCAACATATTTATTATAAAGGTATCTTGACTTCAAAATTTGAGTCTAAGTATATGCTACTTTGGAAAAGCATTTCTACTTTTGGTTCCACAGAGGGTGGGAACCTATGGATTGCTTCTAGGCTAATGTTGCTTGATGGAACAAGAACTCTTGAAAGGTCTCCACAAACCCTAAAAATACTTTGCACAACAAACAAGCAGTTTAGAGAAAACAATGCCCAAATTCCCAAAAAGATTGTTAATAAATGTTTATTTTCATTTAAAAGGTGTTGGGTATAAATCATTAATGGTCATAGTCAATCTCTCTTTTTTTTAAAAAAAAGGGGGGGAGATATAAGTATAGAGATGAATACTTTGCATTGGTATGGATCTTGGTCTATTGGTACAAATTGAGGTCAATTTTGTTTATATATATATATATTTCTACTCTTGTTTAAGGTATTATGTTTAGACAGCTTATTTAAAAATGTATAATTTAATTAATGTATAATTAAAAATTGCAGATTAATAAATAGCCATTTATAATAACCAAACTTATAATATTATTAGTTAGGTTTTCTAGATAACACAGAGATCTATTTCAGATGGCTAGGTATCCTCAAACCTTTCAAAGACCTACAGGATATCACATTTAAAGAACTTAGACTTTTCTCACTAATGAGACAACTCGACTTCTGGCAGACCAATCCCTTTAGAGAGGTTGATGGACATTGAAGAAAGTTGTTGTGGTATTTGCCTTCAATGTGACGAGGTTAGCCATTTGGGCTGCCAAAGGAGACTGAGGCCAGAACTGAAAATTTTTTTGACCTGATAATCCTCACCACCAATGCAATAATTCAAACCAGACCAAATCAAACCAAATGAGAAAAAGTCCAGGTTTAATGGGTGGCAGTGCTCCTGGGTGCAGAGATGAGATGGGGAAGAAAGACTGGGAAGACCACATGTTTGTTCTCTGGGGGGCGTTTAAATACCCTGCGGGAGTGGTCTTGAGCTTCTCTGGGGAGAGGTCAATGTTTGACGGGCTTTCTCAGAGGTGGTGTCTGGACTGAGGCAACTCCCAGGGAAGGGAGCTTGGAATGAAACTTTTCACAAAACATTCCAGACTCTTTGGATATATGAATGCCAGTGGCTGGGGTGGAGCCTTAACCCAAACAAGAACCTTACCAGTAAGCCACAGCCATGTGGTGATAATAGAAATGAGTTAATTTAAGATGTAAGAGCTAGCTAAAAACATGTCTGAACCATCGGCTAAAGTGCTGTAATTAATATAGTTTCTGTATGATTATTTGGGTCCAGGCAGCTGGGAAACAAAAGTATAGTCTCTTTTTACAAGAAATATATAGTTGTACGCCTAGGAGAATGAGAGTAGACTGTCAGCTGTTGATGGAGGCTGCTTGGTCATTTCCTAAATAATCACACAGAAACTGTATTAATTACAACACTGCTTGGCCAATCACTTAAGCATATTGCTAGCTAATTCTTATATCTTAAATTAACCTATTTCTATTATCTTATATTTTACCATGAGGCTTGTGGTTTATCGGTACTGATGTGTGCACATCTTGGGCGTCTTTCTCCTCTGGCGGCTACATGGCATCTCTTTGACTCAGCCTGCTTGATCTCTATCTGCTTGGAATTCCCACCTTGCCCTATTCTGTGCTGCAATAGGCCCAAGATTCTTTATCAACCAATGGTATTCACAGCATACAAAGGGGAATCCCACATCAGTCAGCAGCTTTTTCAGCAGCTTAAGAATTACCTATTAACAGTGGGTTACTTGCTTTACAACCCCTCTGCAAACTTAGAGTCACTCTGCATTCTGAGGGTCAGCTTTTAGATACCCCCCAGCCACTCATGGCCAGCAACTGATATGATCTAAGTTAAGGTTTAAATGAAGACATGTATGTGGCTTTTTGGTTGCTCATTGTCCCATACTCTTTCCTGTTATGCAAAACCGGCCATATCAGGGGACTATAGAGCTTTGGTAAATGCCATCAGGAATGCCAGAGAAACAATGGACTAAATACAAACACTAGTTTAACCGAAAACCCCTGTTAATGAAAATTGTTTTTTGTTAAAAAGTAATTTATATCTGAGTTTCAACTCAAGATTGTAAAAATTCTTTTGTTCATGTCTGATGTTTGCTTCATCAGACAAAGGGGAGTTTGGAAACTGACCCTGGCCACAGCTACAGCAGCCCATCTCTACCTGTGGTCACAGCTGTAGCTGATAAGCTTTGTGTACCCCAAGGAGATTTTTTTCTTTTTCTGAACTAAAGTTTGCTTCTGGTTTAATAGACTTTGGTGGCCCATCCCCCACCTTTGCACGACATGAGGACCCAACAGTATAGACTTTGGTGGCCCATCCCCCACCTTTGCACGACGTGAGGACCCAACAGTATAGACTTTGGTGGCTCATCCCCCACCTTTGCACGATGTGAGGACCCAACAGTATAGACTTTGGTGACCCATCCCCCACCTTTGCACGACATGAGGACCCAACAGTAGCAGAGGGAGAGAAAGGACTCCTGCCGATTATTCTCCAGCCCTCACAGTCCCTGTGCCATGCATGCTTGTGCACATAAATAAACATTAAATTAAAATATATTAATTAAAAAATAAGTAAATAGGATCCCAATGTTCCTATTATTGGGATCCAGAAGTCAAACAAATGGATAACAGAACCGAAAAGGTTGAGCACGTCTCAAATGTGATAACATAATTTGTAGAATACGAAAGAAGAGAAAATGTCAAATAAGATAAATCCAAAGAAATCCCACCAATATTCCCCATTAGAGTTCAACAAAGGAAAAGATTCTGAAAGAAGGAATCCAAAGAGAAAGGAATGTAGCTTAGAGGGGGGCACTCACTTGAATGATTGTGGATGTGAAACCAGGGCAACTTGCAGAAAGCGCCTCAATGTGTCTCAAGTACTGAAGTGTGCATTCTGTCTTTGAGGGGTGAATTTTAAGTGCGTTCTCTGTTGAAGAGAAGCTTAGATACCTTGCTGGGAATGAGCCTGGCTTTAAAAATGACTAAAAATGGTCTCTAATCAGAGAGGCATGGGGACAGGGGAAGACTTGAGACTTTGGGAAGAAAGATGTTAGGTGGATAAAATAGGAGCCCATGGGATGAACTGCTTTTCTCATGTGTTTCTTAAGTCATATTTGATGCAAAAATAATATAAGAAGCAAATATTATCATCTGGTGGTGCTCAGTGTATTTGGGAGAAGGAAGTACGTTGATCCTAAAATGAGACAGGACGAATGCCTGGTGGTGCAGATTTGTTGTTCACTGAGACAGAAGGATTGCAAGTTCAAGACCAGTCCTGGCTACAAGGCCAGCTTGGACAATTTAGTGAGACCCTGTCTTAAAATGAAAACATTTTTTAAAAGAATCTGGGCTATAGCTCAGTGGTGGAATGCTTTCTTAGCATGTGAGAGGTCAAGGTTAGTCCCGAGTACTACAGAAAAGGACCTAATGGGGAATAATCCCAGAAGGTACTGGAGAGCGTGGTGAGTTATGCATAAATAATTCAAGACCAAGCATACCCACTAGGAGCACCTGTGACAGCTAAAACTATGTTCTAAGTTTAAATTACTGTGTCTAAGAGATCCATAAAACAAAAATGAAAATGCCTTTAACCTGTAAGCCCCTGTTGCCCAAGGGCAGGTGACCATAACTTCCTGGAATGCTGGCGACTGTTTATGTAAAATAACAAACCACAGTTTTTGTTTTATTTTGTTTTCGTTGTTGTTGCTAGTTTTTACTTTCATTTGTTTATTTTGTTGTTTTGAGACAGGGTTTCTGTGTGTAGCCCTGGCTGTCCTAGAACACACTCTGTAGACCAGGCTAACCTCAAACTCAGAGATCCCTCTGTCTCTGCCTCCCAAGGTGTGAGTCACACTTAAAGGGACAGCAGGTCACAAGTTTTCACTTCAGTAGGTTGGTAGTCCCAACAACACAGGATGTGCTTGATCATGTGTAGGCAGGAGGTACTATTACATGTATTTGTGTGTGTGCATGGATGTGTGCTTTTGGCTCTCTATGATCACATTCTATGTGCAGATCTTTGTAGCCACTCCCCCGTATGAACATTGCATTCCAATCATTCGGTCACAGACCTGTCAAGCTCAGGTGCTCTAAGTCTCCCTCTGAGATTCTTTTTCTTTGCGTCTTTAGGTTTCTCTCTCTCTCTCTCTCTCTCTGTGTGTGTGTGTGTGTGTGTGTGTGTGTTGGTAAGAGATCTACCTCAGGTGTCTTACTCTGGAGCCATCTACCTTGTTTTTGGTTTGTTTGACATTTTGAGACAGGGCTCTCATGTAGCTTGACTGGCCATAAAACAGTTAGCCTAG